TGACCTCCTTTATCAAAAACCTCTGCTGTGACCTTTTTTTTAAAACATTTTCTTAAAGTACTTTGCATGTAGTTTACAGTAAGCAAAAAAAAAAACTAGATTTTCCAGGCACTCAGCAAAGTTATTATAGTAACACTGTTAAAAAGTACTTGTAAAAATTGAAATTACTTTCACATTTTGGCTAAAATCTCGGCTGAAAATAGAAATTGAATGGAGGAAATGTGAATATAACGGGATAAGATTCTTACAAACAATAAGCATTAGCTGCCACATCATTTACACAAATTACCTAGAAATTTAGCATACTCTTATAAAGTTCACTCCGGATGTCTCCGCATTACGCAGTGGCGTTGTGCTGAAGGCCACCGAAATTTTTTCAGAATAAAGGATATCCGCTCCCAAATTAGGAATAAATTCCCCTATATGTGACTTTTCCAGGGTGAGCGTCATTTGGCTTACGCACATTTCTTGTTGCCAAGCTTTTCGAAAGCAGTTTTAAAGCTAAAGGCGTGTGTTCGTGGTGCTAATTTGTACGTTCTAGTTTCTTGGCATTATGAATTGGAATTTGGAGAAATACATAGTAGTCAGTTGAAAGATTACTTTGAAACGTGTCGTCCTCGAAGGGTCTTTTGGTCCTTCTCTTTTTAAATGACGTATCGCAAGTTTTGGTGATGCTTTATCGAAAAATTGGAGGCTTTCTTTTGCTCGTTTGTTTATTCTACCCGAAACCGAGAAGCACCAATGCTGAGATAGTGGAAAGCAAAGTAGAACCTACAGAAGTAATTGTGAGCGTGGGGTTTGTAACACAGAGAAGCTGCAAGGAGAGGCAGTAATACTGTTGGAGCTGAGTGAAAAAGACGTGTTTTTCAAAGATAAGTGTCAGGTTTTTCAACTGGTATTGTAAGTTATTGGCCAACATGAGAAGCAAGCGGTACGGTATAAACTTTTTACATTTTTCAGTGTATTGCAAAATTTGCGTCATTTCTTTTTTGTTTCTATGACTCCAACACGCGATTACGAATTGAACTATGCAGAAAATAAGGCAGTCATG